AAAAAAAAAAAAAAAAAAAAAAAAAAAAAAAAAAACAATAAATTGACAATACAAAACTTCATAATTTTGGATTCTCACAAAATGCAGTCAACATATTAAATTACTCATAATTTCGGGGATTAAGACAAAATCACCCACATCTTATGAAATATGAATATGATATTTCTGCATTTTTGTTAGTTTAGTTTAGTTTTATTTCCTGACATGTTGTATATTTTGGGTTTAAAATAAATACAATAAACTTTCTTGACTTCTGTAAGTGTGCAATGTGTCTGTTGTATAACTCATATAGTAATGCACGTTGCTCACCGTTTTCAATGCCATATTTTGATTAAGATCATTTTATGTTGAGATTTGATGGAGCGATTTTGGTCCAAAATTAATAAAAAAATGCTTAATATCATATGTCTCTAGGTCTCTCAGGATTTAATTGCACTCAAAGTACTTGTTATTGTCACAGTGTGTCTGTGTGGGTGTTTTATTTTGGTGAATTTTCTTGTATTCTGTGCTGTATTTCAGTTTTCCTCCTCCTGCTTGTCTTTGCTCGGCCCCACCCACTCTCACCTGCTCCTCGTGTTTCTCTCCCAGGTGTTTCTTGTTTTAGCTCATTAGTTCTCCTTTATATTATGTTCCGTGTCCTCAGTCTGTGTCAGAGCTTTTGTTTGTTTGTCATCCATAATCACCATAGCCTGTGCTTTTTTTCCTCATGCCAAGTTTTGGAAACTTTGTTTTGGTATTTTKCTGCCTCGCCAACCTTTTTATTTTGTAAATAAATCCGTTTGCACCTTTTTTGCCAAGATCATTTCAATTCATCCAAAGTAAAATCTTTAGTTATGAATTACTCTCAGCTACAACCAAATCATATTTTAGCTCACTATATGTAAAATTGATTGAGTTTTAGCCATTTTTGTTTAGCTAAGTTTGATTAGCTGTAGCAGCCATCTTGACTGGGGATGACTCTAGATGTTAAATAGTCATGTATGTTGAGGGATTAAACACCGTCAGTTTGACAAAAATATGTTGGGTTGTTTAAGAGATATTTTGCTAACATGACAAAACACACACACTCACATTGTTTTTCTTACTTATCCTCTAGTCTTAACATTTTTTTAAATTACCATCACTTGTATGAAAAAGAGCTTTTTCTTCAACAGAAAGAACTTAAAATAGTAAAATGAAAATTTGTTGTAATTGTTGGTTATATTGCATGACAGTTCATTTACAAACATTTATTGTGTTATAGTATGTATGCAGCAGACCTACTGAGTAAGGTCACACCTCTAAAATGCAAGCTAATTTGTAAAATGCACTGACAGCAGCAGCAGGCTTCTGTGACTCATGTAATTCGACCCATGCACAAACACACACTTAACCCCACCACTACCGACATAAATATGCAGTCAGCACAAACATCAGGGCCAACACCTATGTGTTACGTGATAAAACTCACAAACTCTCATGATGCACAAATGTGCATCAAGCAAACTTGGACCTTTAAGGGAGACAAGATGCGACTGTGTGTTGTATAGAGAGCATCTCAAAATATTCCTACTGGCACCACCTTAATATGGTGGAAATTCAGTTATAATGTGCTGTGGATGTAAATATCTCTGCCATTAAAGCAAACTATGTTTGCATTTTCAAAGTATCATATTTTCTTTTGAAAGGATTGAAATCAGATGAAGCATGTTTTAAAACAACACAATTCAAAGTGCATCAATTAGGAATCCCCAAGGGATATAGAAATGGATTTAGACACCAAGGTTTCAGCTCATACACACATTGCTGTCAAGATAAAAACAAAATGTTAAGAGAGACCAAAATGTTTACTTTCATGGAAGTAAAAAACAGCTGAAAACACAGTGAAAGCACTCTACTCTGTCCTTATTAGAACATACGTATATCTGGAGCACATGTGCTCAGCTGATAACTTTAAAGAACCATTCTTAAATGTAAACATACTTGGAAGTAATCCAACATGTACACTTAAAACTGTGTGTGTTCTTTCTTGAACAAAATGAGATTCTCTCAGGATTTTGATGCATTAGTGTTTTATAAAAAGAAATAATTTCAGGAACTAAAGGTTTTACAATGTCAGGAAATTGATACAGTGATGTTTGACCTTGTCCTGATTGGGAGCATGACCATAGGTCTGGGAATGAGATACATTTATAGTGTTGACATAATAACACATTATTTATGGTAAGAATTGCTTATTTTGGAACAAAATAAAATTCCCATGTACTCAGTCAGATGAAATGGCACAGAGAAGCACAACACACACACACAAACACACACAATTTATGGCTAATATGAGGGTGTAATCTTATAGGCTTATAACACACACACACACACACACACACACACACACACACACNCACACACACACACACACACACACACACACACACACACACACACACACACACACACACACACACACACACACACACACACACACTTCACTTCACTTCACTTCACTTCACTTTAAACAGTTTCTAAGTAAAGTAGTAGCCATTGTACATTTTACTGTTCAGTATTTGTGTCCAGATCTTAAAAGTGAACACATGCATAAAACAATTCTCTAATGCACCTATAAGCACACTCGCTTTAATAACATTCCCTCATCCACAGATATTAGCATAAATGTTGATTGTGATATAAGTATTAACAACTCCATGATGTGATGTCCTTGCACAGGGGGTATATATACACATAAGGAAGGGTGGGTATGTAGTGTCTTGGAAAGAGTCAAAAATTAAATTGCTGGAAGACAAAAAAAACATACCATATCACCTGTACATATCACACTCACCTCCTGTGGGTGACTCTTACAGTCCTTACAGACTGGAGACGAGCAGTAGTGATGAAAAACTGAACCAGAGAGGTTGTCAATCATATCCCCTTCCAGTGAGTCCTTTATCAGCAGAGACACACTGTCCAGCCACTGGCTCTCCTGCATCGCACACACACACACACACACACAGAAACACTGCAATAAAATGTCACAACTAATGTCATTCTATTAGCAAAACAAGGTTTCTTAAAGCAGCAGTTTTGTTCTTATGAAAAGCAAGTCAACAAAATTAAGACAATTTACTGCAAACATCAGTTGCTTTTACAGTAAAAGTTAATCAAAGCATCAGTTCATCAGTAGAGGTGTGGTAATTTCTCAACATCCAAAATAAATAAAAAAAGTCAGTTTTCCCATTTCCCTTTTTGAACTCCTGCACAAATTGTAGGTTATTTACTTAAAAAAAACAATAAGCAGGTCCTCTGGATAGTTTCTTCTTCAATGAAATGTTTTGTCTCTCTTTCAAGAGACTTCAGTCTGAGGAGTTTCAGATGAACTCAGCCTTATAAGCGCTGCCTCCATATGGTGGACAAACAGGTTGGTCATATGCAAAAGAGGACTATCAGCCAAACATTAGATCATTAGTGCCTTGATTGTCTCTGTTGTTCATAGAGGGTCATGTGCACCATCACCTGACTATTGTTGGGGCCCTGGTTCCCACCTTTTACTTACAGGGGGCTGAGTCATACTTGCAATCACAGCATTGTAAGAGGGGGACAACTGGACACAAAGGCGTCCACCTGTATAACAATAGAGGTTTTGTTCTTAACAAAAATGGCTTCCTTTACTCTTCTCTCAAACCAAGGTTCCTGTCTATCGAGGATGAGAACATCTTCATCCCTGAAAGAGTGACCCCTGGCCTAGATGAGTGTAAACTGCAGATTCCTGGCCTGATGATGTAGTTCGTCTGTGCTGGCTCATTCCTTTGAACAGTGGCTGCTTTGTTTCCCTGAAGTTTAACTGATCACAGTCCTCCTGGCACTTATTACAACATTGCTTTGTGCCGGGGAACCGGATTTTTGGGTTGAACCGGTCTTTTCTGTAATGTGTTTTGGGGTTTGAAAGCCACTGGGACATCATGTTTAGAGTATAAATGTCTCAGTTTCTCTGAAACTCCCGCAACAGACGGAATGACCCTGGTCTGGCTCTGGGTTAAGTTTTTCTTTTTGATTTTTCTGATGCATCAGGATGTTCTTTACTTTAGTTACAAAACATACAGTCTCCAAACCAAGTCAATTTTTCTCATTTGCTCGAAATGTCAAACTTCTCTCTTTTTCTTCCCTACACATGTCTGCTTTATTATCAGTTCTTTTACATAACATGCCGACTACGTCATGAGGAGTATAGTTTAATTAAGAACAATCTGTTTGAGCCGTTGCTATTTTCAGCTGCTACTGGCAGCTGCAAGACAGTTATCACTGATTTTTGCCCGCTTTATGCAGAGCCAAAGAAGACAAATGTTAATTTTGTAAAATCTAATTGCAAGGACTTTCATTTTTTTGCCTCTGCTTAGTGAATTGATGTTTCTTTTTCTTTTCCTTTTTTGTCACCTCTTCTCTACTTTGATGTGTTCACCAGTCTTTTTGCTATCTCCTACACCTTGGATCTCAATACATTTTAAAACTTCTACGTGTTTCTGTCCTCTTGTTGGAAGCTTTTACTGTTTGTTCCTCCAATAGTTATTTTCTCCTCTTGTTTCTGCCCAAACACTGTGAGACTGACTGATAAAGGGTGTGAGGTGAGGAGGGCAACCACAGACAATATCAAGTCCTTGGCAGGACCCACCTATTGACTGAGCCCCCAACACACACACACACACACACACACACACACAC